AACAAGATCACGGAATTGTCTATTCTGTGCTACTGGTACGCCGTTTGCTTAAACTATGTAGCTTCGGACTAACTCACTACTGGCTATTTGCGCTGAAAAATCGTTTTCTAGATACTTATCTTAATGTAGTCTTAGGCGAAGCGAGATGATCGAGTCCGCGAAGGATCCATCCGCTTACAGCTAGTACTACCTCGGATAGGTACCCCTACACCAAGGGTGAACAGGGGGCATCCTTGAGCCAAAAAACATTTGCTTTGTATAAGATGGTCATCCTCTCGAGGCTGTAGCATACTCTATGTGACCGTAGTTTATCGTCGTGGCGAGAGAGAAAACAGGTGACAGTCAACAGTATACGATATCATTAGATAGGTACTTACTAGAGCTAGTTCACCAGATCGATCTAGACTGGAACAACTCCACGTGCTTCCACGTTTGGTTAGCTTCTGCTATGTATATATTTACGTATGTACGTAGATGCCAGCCACCTAATAACCACCATCGTCATTTTTTGTCTCAAAAAAACACGAGCTGACATGAGTGCACTTTATTAAATTGACAGTAGGTAGCAACTACAGACTACAATTAAGTACCTATTCAACACTTCGAGATATATATACCATAAGTACGCGCACTGACGCTAATAAAACGAGGGTTGCAATACCTACCTGCAGGTATAGTAACTATCCTACCTAGGTAAGTGCCTATTAGATGGTAGCGGGTAGCAGGTAGGTAGTCCCGCAGAGGAAGTGGGACGAAATATCAACATCACCAGCTTTGAATCAACATGGGCACTGTAATGAACAACCTGCTCCCCACCACGCCACCGCGAGCATTTCCCCCTTCCCTTTCCCCTCTCTTCCCCTTGCCTTGCCATCTCGCATCGTGCCAGACAAATAAATACCTACCTCGCTGTCTCCGATTATCGCTCTCTCTACTGTACCTACACCTTCGAATCGATATCGACATTCAATCGCGATATACCGTTGTGACTTGGGCTCCCTTCAAGTGACTAGACTAGATATTCTTGCTAGTCTACTCCTCTCAAGCTACAGCATCTACAGTCTTTTATAGTTTTTTTTTTATCTTCCCTTTACATGACACGACAATACGCATCCACCTACCTTTCTCTCATATAGTATATAAGCGATCAATAGTTATACGTACCTACTTAACTATCGACATCCAGTATTACTACCACGCCGGCGCTCTCTCCCTATCCTGCCGTATCCCGTCCCGGATCAATTGAGTACTCGTCGTCTTTAGCGATCTCGCGTAGCCACCCCCGTTGGCATCCCTCGCGCGCGCAATGGCTGTGCAGGGCGGAGGGGGAGAGGATGTGTATGCTACAGTTCGTCCATCATCACTACTACTACTATGTCACGGCCCACGGCCTCTCTACCCGCGCAAGCATGTATCTAACCGCGTGCGCTACTAGCTTCTATTGACAGACACATACTTGCCTGGTAGGGTCTCCAGCCTCAATTGATCGATGTGATGTATATATAACAAGACCTGACGCCGTGTATTAAGGTGCGCTGGTCCTGGCTCATTCCCTACGTGATGCTGCTACGACGAAGAAGTTGGCTGCACTAGTCACCCTTGATAGTGTATCCGCCGAGGCTGTTACCCAGCTCAAGGTGAGCCCTATCACTTTCATGCCCGTGGAAGCAAGTAACCACCACTTGGATCGTGCGCTGACGCGACTGGCCAGTCGGTCTATGACTACGTGATTCCCGTGCCTCGAATTCGCAATGCCCAACCAGCCAATCTACAGTTGATGAACCGAACCGACCTCCACTCCGCCTTCACCAAGATCAACCTATGGTGCCAGACCCAGTTCCGCAAGATCGTCTATATAGACGCCGATGTCGTCGCGTACCGAGCCCCCGATGAACTCTTCAACATCGCACACCCCTTCTCGGCAGCCCCTGATATCGGCTGGCCCGACTTGTTCAACACGGGTGTCATGGTTCTGACCCCGAACATGGGCGACTATTACGCTATGATGGCCATGGCCGAGAGGGGAATCTCGTTCGACGGCGCCGACCAAGGCCTGATAAACACCCATTTTCGTAACAACTATAATCGTATAAGCTTTGCCTACAATGTGACCCCGTCTGCTCATTACCAGTACATCCCAGCCTATCGCCATTTTCAGTCGAGCATCAACATGGTGCATTTCATTGGATCAGACAAGCCGTGGTTTCAGGGACGCCATGCGAGCACCGGAAGCTCGCCCTTCGACGAAATGACAGGCAGATGGTGGGCAGTCTACGATCGGCATTATCGGGTGGCTGTAAGTTGCTTTCCACGTATTTGGCCATGCATTAAATACTCTACTTATACTTTCTAAGTCGCCGCAGTCTTCGCGGCTAGCATCTAGTCAGCCTCCTAGTGTAGTGGCGAAGAGAGAACCCGTTCCGGCCCTCGTACAATATCTCACCAAGGGAGAATACCAGCCACAGAGCTCGCATGTAGAGCCTTTCGGTACAAAGAATGACAACACGCATAGTGGCCATAACCATGGGCATCAAGATTATCATGCAACGGCCCCATATCAAGCACAAGACCAGCAGCTAGATCAGCAGTCCCACCATCATTACGACTCTGTTAGCGCCGTAATGCACAGCGAGCCCCTCCAACATCAAGATGCTAAGGACCAAGGAACACCCTCGTCTAAAGCCGATAACCAGCACCATGAAGCCTCTAGTTTTGTTTCTAGCGATGTGATTTCGTCTTCGAGCCACCATAGGGACAGTCCAGCTAAAACTGGCCAAGAGCAGATTCACGCTCAGGGGTTGCCCATACCCCCTCCTGAGCCAGATCGGGAACCCCCACCGTTCCAAGCCCCTATGTCGAGCTGGGATGCTCAAAGGTTGCTTTTTACCCGTCTGTTAAATAGAAGACATCACCTGCTAACCCCTTTGTAGACATCCGCCCCCGGCGGAATCGAAGCCGGAAGCCATGAACTTCCCTGCTACAATATACGAGATGTCGAAAAGTACCGCTCCTTTTATCGCTCCCCAGCAGTATCCCAGCCCCCCGAAGAATATGTGGTACGAGGTTCCGAAGACACCCCCAGCTGCTCCCTCAGAACCATTAAAACCTATCTTCCCCTGGGAGGCCAGCCGGCCTAAGCCGTCTCGTGTATTTGTCGACGAGGAGCCCAAATTCGCTGAAGAGTCGAAGACGCATGATCTATTCATACCTTCTGATGGGCCGCAGTCTGAGCTCGAAGCGCAGCAATCTGCCGAGTCCTCCGGAGCCGAAGCCTCTACAGTAGAACAAGAGAGCCAGCCCGTGACGCCCACCACTCCTACTATCCAAATAACGCCATCGGATCCATGGACTTCGTACACACGGACTAATGCATGGGATGAGATGCCGGAGATAGAACGCTACATCGGTTCCATGCAGAAGCACCAAAGATCAAGGAGTATTAAATCCCCGGGCGTGATTGGACTACCAGGTCCCGGTGAAGATGTAGAAGTCACGTGGCGAAGGCGAGGGAGTAAGGTAACCGACTTTCCAAGTGAAGCTGAGCGCCCCAGTCTGCCTGTTACGCCTGCCCCCATCAATCGATCAAGCTTTTGGGGCAGTGGTTCGAATACCGGTGAGGGCAAAAATGACCTGGTACTGCCCTCTGCAGTGGGTGTCCCCGGTCAAGGCGATTGGGTATGTCTGCATGGACGGCTGTGGACGCGTGCTGATTGTCGCTGTGATATCCGCTAACATCCTGCCATAAGGATCCTAGAGCACAGCTTAAAAAGTTGGCTCAACAACATGGCGAAGAACTCTTGAAAAGGCTCGGGGGTGGTGGCCAAAACAGTAGCGATCCACCACCGAGGCTTTTACCCCTTAACCCCGAAAAGTTGGTCTCGCCAACTTACGTAGCACAATCAACCCAACTACTGAGCCCACAGCCGGTAAAAGGAAGTGTAAGCTCTAGTTCTGTGCTCAATCCGGCAGCAGATTTGGAGACGGTGTTTCAGTCAGCTCCCTTGGCCGCAAGAGAAGTTGAATCAAGCCCACCTATTTCTTCTTCTCATGAAGACTCAACTTTGGACTCAGAGCGTTCAATACCCATATAAACTAGAGTCAACATCCTGACAGTTTCTACCATATTGGCAGATACTTGGACTTGCTATTACTGATCTCGCTTCAGGTCGCGCATTTTTCACCCTTGTATTAAGGACTCAACGCAAGCTGTAAATTGCATTGTACAGAAGATAATCTGCGGGCTCTGGTTTCGATGATCACACATGCAATGAATACCACGAAGCTAAGCAGGACAGCAAGTTCTTGAGTATCCAATAAGACTCTTTGTCTTCATATTTCATTATTATTCTGCATGTATTCTGGAAGCAAGCCCCGGATGACATTGCACTGGACAAGCTAACCAGAGCATTCTATATCTCTACGGATGCTCTAGGCCTTTGTACCATCAGTCTAGCGCTAAGCTTTGATTCTTGTTCACGCATTGTCTTTGTAGCCCGTCATCTCTATCTGTACTATTTCCTACCATTGCATTTTCAGGAGCTGCTTGGCCTTATGATCGCTTAGCATGTATTACAGCGAGAGGCATGAGTCTCTCACGCCACGGAGGTATTATGTTTTCAATGGGAATGTGTCATGTTATCCTTCTAAGTTCATCTATCTCATATGGAGCATTTGATGACCTTGTAATATATAACTATATGTATGCATCTATGTCGTCAATCCCAATCGGAGCACCTCACATGTGGCAAATTCGGTGTGTGAAAGTGACTGCGTTGCTGAATCCAGATAAGAAGGCCTGCTCCTGACGTAAAGCTAAGGAGGTTTCATGGGCAATGCCCTGCTATCCTATAGTGTAAGGAAGAAACAGAGAGTCAACGGGATGTCCGTACTCTATCTAGCCTTAGGGCTCACTTCTGCGAACAAAAATATATATATATGTAATGCGGGAAGAAAAAGGTATGAGTAGCGGGATTGTTGTTGCCCGCTAGATGTAACCATGTTGACCTCGCTGGGGGTCGAACCCAGAATCTCCTGATTGCTTCTGAAGTCGAGCACTCCATCGTAGTCAGACGCCTTGCCATTGGGCCACGAGGCCGTGATTTGTGATTGGTTTGACAGTATAAAGTGGCACAAGAAAGAAGGTTACAAGAAAATTTTGGTGTGGAAGAAAGGTGGGCCGGGTTTTGTGCTGTGGGTTTCTCCATAGGAGGTAGGGCTGGCTTTAGACTACTTTTTCCATTCCTTTTTGGGGGGGCCAAACAAATAGCTAGTTGCATCGAGGTTAATAATAGGGTGACTTGAGTTGGAACCAATATATCCTTTACATGTAGTTCAACTAGGGAGATAAAAATAAAAGGCATTGCAAATTCCTAAGTGATAGAACAGAACTGCTATGCTATATACTACAACGCTACCAAAAGTAAATCGTTGTTAAGTTGTGACCTTGACCAATTATGGTTAGTTATATAGGATTGTAATAAGAATTAGGCCGTGCCTGTTAAGAATTTATTATAATCATCAGTTGACTTGTTGAACGCTCCAACAACCAGTTCCTAAACTAATATCATAGCGAGCTCAACGTGAGATCAACCTACGCTACCAAATTCTACGGTCCATACTAGCACGTGATTGAAAGAAGTGTATTATCTGCTGTTGCTTTCGCCTAGTCCATAAAAACTCCGAATGCAACCTGTAGGGTGGTATCGAAGCCTTTGATTATGATATGTAAGTAGGATAATGCAACTTCGGTGACTGGGCTGGACTCGCGGGCTTTGAATTTACATTCGGCATTTGAACAGACCTCGGTGAGTTTGACCTCCGGTTCTGGAAGTGTGCTTGATTATTATTGGATAGGAATAACTATAGAAGACTGTGGACGAGCCTGATCCATCCGCATATATATATCAAACCCTAGCAATGGTCAATAAGTCGAAATAGTTCGCTACCTGAAATAGGCGCCAAAGATAGGTAGGGCAGAACAACTATTTGGGGGCATTTTCTCGCCGATCGTTTCTATATTCTCAGTAATAACTTGCATTGTCCAGATCCGCGTAAGTTCGCTTGTCGTCTCAACTTGGGAACCAATAGGTCGGCTTTCTCGCAGAGCGAATTCTTAGTTATAATATAATTGTTAGACAGCAAAACTTCATACGCTCCCTATCTTGCTACTCTAGTGCTCTTAACCTATGTTCGGGTGACTATCAGAGAAACTCGCAATGATCCAATAATAATACGTTTCTCCTGTTAGAGCTCTTGCAGTATGAGGTACGTAATGGATTATCGTGTCACGCGAAGGCTCGTAAAACCTCTCCGAATACCACCATACCTATCTATCTATATATAGAAATAGCTCCTTTGTTCACTCTCTCTTGTGCATTGCGATCACCTCTTTCCTAGTTTAGCCTTATGCCACCTAGAATGGCCGATTAGATAAACAGAGCACTTCTACGCTGCTACATACTACTAGATTTTGGAGGTTAAACTAGATAAGTATTTGACCATCTGCATTTGATTATATGTAGCTTACAGCCGCAGAACGTCAAGACGTTTAGATAATGCATTTACCACGTGCTCCTTAGTATCAAGAATGCGATTTCCACTTTCTGAGTAAGTCAGTAGCCGTTCGCAGTGCCTTACCTCAGTCTTACGCCCGTTACATCTCGTTTCTCACGTGCTGTATTGAAACAGCTTACTATTGCATATGCACATCGCGTATCGTAGGTATGTAGTATCCGGCTCCATATATATTTACCAGCAGGCCGTTGTTTGCGAGAACACGAAAACTTTAAATCCAACCAGGGGGGCGGGACTTTTTGGCCGTGCCATAATAGGGCGCTTTTTTCTTGTGCGATGAAAACAACGTGTGTAAATTACATCCTCTCACCTAGAGCTGTCTGTCTTTCGGTCGCGGTCATTGTGTAAAAGAATAATGCCAGGAATAAATAGAATAGATGGATGGCGCCAGACGATCGACTGGTGATCAAGCAGGCGTTGAAGCCGGATGAGCTACGCGGCCCGCGCCAGCATGTCAGACTAGGATCTCGACATGCGGGCTTGCTCTCACATCAGCTGTGGGAATTCGCTTTTTATAGGCTGACCAGATACTTAGTGTAGATGTCAAACAGTGAGTTGATGTCATACTATCGTGCAGCTTTTTTTTTTCTTGCACGTGTTATCAAACGCCTGAATATGTAGAATCGAATGCCGCGCAAATCCCGAGAGCAGATATAGACTGAATATATGGCGGCGTCTCCTGGATGGACTCCCCCACAACTATGACAGCCCCATTAGGGGGATTGGGCATCTGGCGGCGTGTGATATGATCACTATAATAGTCTTCCTAGAGACGCCGTCCTAGAGTGGTGCACTGTCATGAGAGGAGACCATACCCTTAATCTCGATAGCCCTATATGCCATATAAGATTGAATTGTCTTTCATCTTATGTCTTTCTAGTGGGTGAGTCGCATGCTCTAAATTTGGACGTTGTGGTGTCATCTCAACGACACTTGTGGTTGTATGATCCGAGTTCTGATCCGAGTACATATGTCTTGGCCCACCTTGTCCCCAAAAGGCCTGCCAATTACCTGTGTAAATAGAGTTATAACTTATGACACGTCGTTGAGGGGGAAACTGTGAATTTGTACTCACCTGTAGTGTATTCCTTACAGACATCCTATTCCTCTGCTGGGCCGGGTTCCATCGTGATTCTCGAATCCCTCGAAGCCAGTCTTATGAAAAGAGCCGTCACACTTATTGCTCCTTTTGCGTCATTCTAGTAAGTACCGTAATAAGACACAGAGACTCTTGTTCAACCGGAGGCGCCGGAGGTCGAGTATTAGTGGTCGGTGTTTGGCTCCTTTTGTAACACTTGCCCGACGGCGAGGGATGGCGAACGAGTGAGGGCCGAGAATAGAATGGCGTTGCCCATCACGTCAGATCTTACGGCGCCACAGCAAGTGGTCAAACCGCCAGCTAATATTCCCGGAGCTTGGCAGGAAAGCTTCTTGTGCCGATTCTGAAGCGACCATGGTACATTTTGGCAATGAAAAGTCTGTGTGTAAGTTTTGCACGCTAGACATGGCAGGCATATGGCTTGGCTCGAGCTAGAACGTTTTATTCATGCAGGTGATGTTATCCCCGGATATTGGTACCTGTGCTGTCGCCCCTAGCACGGTCAGTGAGCACCCATTAGCCCGGGATTACGATCTCGCGGCACGCGTTGGGCACGGGCACGGAGCTGGGCTAGACCAGGGCACAAATTTGAAATTCGCATGGGTGCGTCGACCGTGCACAAGACTAAGACTTCGTACACTGCATGTGGCACGCAGCTCGGTGCAACGGATCCATACATTCTAGAATCGTGTAATCAAAGCACATGTACCAATCATATAGGTAAATCATCGTTGTTGTTAGATCGTAGCTCGCCCCAACCAGGATCGCACACATCCAGTGAACAATAGGCAAATGAAAGCGAGGATTGGCATTGCATTTGAGTTCGATAGTACAGCTAGGTATGTCTCTGTAGGGAGTTCATACTATGCCTCAAGAAGGTATAGTTAGGCCACTTCCCCGCATCCTCAACGCCCAGATGCGGTGCCGGCGTGGTAGAGCCAGGGGCACGATTGAGGTCACATCGGCTTAGCCGCATTGGATGGGGGACTTTGTGCGTCCTTGCAAGGGCGTTAAGCACTTACCTATGTACTGTATGTATGTAGAATCGTGGTGCTAGGTAGAGGTAGATCAAACTGCAAGTGGGATAGGTCCGACCGGGCTATCCTAACCTAGTACTAGCAGTTTCATATGCTGTTGGTAGGTTCTCGTATGATGGTGGTATATCTTACGTGATGGTCTTCCCTTTCATAATTCAGCCACCAGTAGGAAATCCGGGGGTTCATATAATGTGGTATGGCATGTGTTAAGCTGTATTAGCTAAGTAGGTAAGTAACACTGACGTAAACGATAGCATGATCTCTATTAACGCCCAAATTCGTACGCCGGATTACTTGCCCTATTCGAGTATACTGTATATTGTTCTTGTTCAAGCATATTATTGACAACGTTCATTGGTTAATATGGTAACTTGGCACTGCTGTAGAACAGCCTGTTTCTAATGTGTCTCGAGAAGATAGACCTCTTGTCCGTGCTATGCAGATTATTATTCATCTATCCATTAAGGAATCTATTAGTACAGTAGGAGTGGCCTAGTTCTACGTCAAGTGCTTACATTAGGTATGTATTATGTATACTAGTCTACGGCTTTCCTCAGCATCATTCCGGTATCATTACCCACCTTGTTTACTTTCCCTAGTGCACGTTGACTACAAGGTCCTTAGTCATGTTCGCTCCGGACTAGCTTCTTGTCGCCTTAACAGTTAACCAACCTAACAGTTAGTGTCTGCACTATCAGGGATCAAGGGCAGAAGTTAAGCTATCAAGTCTTCTCCCTCACAGACTAGCTCTTGTTAAGCTTCAGGCCGAACGTCTGTGTACTGGGCCCTTCTAGCTATCGTTATTTTACGTCTCTAGAGATTCGCCATCGATACATATTGGCGTGATATCTCTGCGATCTGCCACACCATTCTCTCATGGCTGAGATACCGTTAAGCATATTTCTCGGCTATTGATTGACTACACGTGCCATCGATGGCATGAACCCTGAATGAACGACATATTATGTGATCGCCGTTTTCCAAACCATTAATTACTATACCTATCCCGTGTTGGGTTTACGACTATATCCCATATTACTCAATCTCGATCTAGATAGCCGGACAGATCATGTTATTAACTTCAACTAGAGAACCAACGTTCAAATAAGATTCTCTTCCCCCTGGCGTGTCTCGCTTACGATTACCTACTTTCGATGAAAAACAATTCCTAATGGCGAATTCCACACTACCGCCTCAGGGCGTAGTGAACGCCATCACCATTATCGAACGGATCGGGTCGGTCCTGTCTATTATAGGATGCGTATTTATCATCGTCACCTTTATATCTTCTAGCGCCTTCCGCAAGCCTATTAACCGGCTTGTATTCTATGCGTCTTTTGGTAACATGTTCGCCAACGCTGGGACGCTGATCGCCACAGCCTATAT